GGTGATTGTCTCGCTACATCGCGACACCGCAATAATGGCGATTGATAAATCATCGATGCGAAAAAAAACTCGGAATCATACGCGCGCGCGCAATCATGCGTTAATCAAGCCGCGATCGGCGCGAGGCATCAAAGAGCGTCCCGATCAAATTGGAAATTCATTGCATGCAAATCACAAGGCGAGAGAGAGAGGGGAAGAGAGAGAAATTTATTTCTTCCTTTATATCTCTCCGCGTGAACCCACCGCTTCTCAATCGCTTCTTTCCCTGCCTCTCATCCTCTTCCTCCTTCCTTCCTTCCTTCCTTCCTGTCAAACCGAGCTCGTAGCCGCAAATTAGCTGCTCACGCGGCGGCTAAAAGAAAATTAAAAGAGGGTTCCCGCCTCTTGGCAACCCCTTCGCCTGCCTTCCCCCTTGTTTTTAGCATTCCGAGAGGCGAGGCTTCATCCTCCTCGCGAAATTTCAGGATCCCATCCCTCGAGTGCGCCATTTTCGCGTTGCATGGCTATGTACGTTGATTGGAATCACGTGTAGACGAATTTCGTTAATGTCGAATATCTGTCAGACATTTGTGGATACAAAAAATCTGTAAAATAACACTTGCGTTTTTCAAGCGCCATGTATTCTCGACGATTCGTCATGAATCCGCAATGTACCATACGGGCGATTAACGTTTAATCTATACGAGACATGACAATATATACAAAGAACCCCAGCAACGCCAATCTTCGTCTCTCTTTATCGTAGCGATCAAAGTACGTGTTAATTACACGTACGAGCGAGATGTCGCGCGATAAGATTGAAACCGCAATGCTTAATTAAGAAACGCGAGCTACTCAGAAAAATAAAGTCGAGTGAAGCGGCAGAATGGATGATTGATTGTTCGCATCAAAGAAACCCGCACGCGTGCTTTTATAACGGTTAACTAATGCACTAAAGCCTGTCCTCGACAAGCGATCCGCGAAGTCGTCTGAAATTATCGACATCATGTTACAGAAAAGTGCAATTGCACTAAGAGGAAAAGCATCTTGAAATAAAAAAATTTTATTTAGAAAGCTATTAATTTAATTTAATTTAATTTAATTTAATTTAATTTAAAAAATTTCATTTAATTCAAGAAAGCTATTATTATTTATTTGGTGCGTACTAATCAATCGTATTTACTTGTATTCAAAACGTTTACTTAAGTTTTTATTTACATGTATCAAGAAAAATTTATATGCTTGAGAAAATGCAATTTTTAACCAACTATTTTTAATTTTAATTTTACAAAATACTTATTGAAATGTTTTTTTAGAAAAATTTTGAATTTTTGAAAAAACCATATACTTAATAAATTATAGTGTATATATTTAATGAAAATTTTACGTAAATATAAATAAAAAATAATGTACTCAATATAATATGCATATTAAATTAAAATTAAAAATGCCTTTAAATGAAATAAATAATTCCTTTCATTCAAAGCAAAAATTTCAAGAAGACAAATGTACTTGATTTAAAAGAATTTTTCCCTCCAGTGTATAAACAGAAAAAGACAGAAAGAATCATATCAGTTCTCTAATATAAACAAAATATACACTGATCCTGTAGCGAATGTGTCTCGTCGTTTCGGCGACCGGCAAAGTCTGTTATTACAGTTGTAAGTCTTAATCCACCTCCGCGATCGCTCGGTGGCCAACCCCCTTTCCTACAGCGTAATCCCGTAAAGGATGTAAATTTCTGCTCCTCGCCTCCCGTCTCTCGAGCGAGGAACGAGCGTGTATCAACTCGTGAATCGTACAATCGCGCGTGTGTACCGTTGGATTTAGCCGCACACGGGGTCGGAGTAGTCGGATAGTTACAAGCGCGGGTTGCAACGGGTCGGTGTAATGCGCTACCCAGCCACGGGCAAATATTCGCAGATGTGAGCCGAGCAACGAAAATTCGGCTTTGCAGCACTCGTGTGTCGGCGTACTAGCTAACAGGATTTATTTGTATCTACGTGTACGTACCGCGCGTTCCGCATTTCAAAGCCCTCTTTCTCTCTCCCTCTCTCTCTGTTTCTTCTCTCTGCATCCGCTGGGTTGAATTGATATATGTGTGGTGGGTGCACGCTATATATCTGCTGCCGTACGACTACACGCACGTACATATAGCACATATATGTGGTAGGTGGAGAGAGAAAGACAGAGACGGAGGGAACTGAGCTAACTAACGGGCTAGCAGTTCATTAGAGATCGCTAAACTCTAGGGTGGCTCGTAACAGGAGCAAGGGATGAGGATTTCGTTATTTCGCGATATGCGTTCCGTTCGAGAAAAGGATGGTCCCTCATTGAATTTTCCCTCGGAGCAGATCCTGCGATAAATTCTGACATATCCGCGCATGCAGAGTTGCAGTCTGCACATCCGCGGTTGTTAAAATTCCGAAAGAAGCGGATGAAAGATGCCGATGAATCGGGAACGGGGATGTTTCCTTCTATCTAATATTTATCAATATCTCGCCTCACCGGACATCGCGAGCGGAAATGAAGCTCGTGTACGCGAGAGGAGGGATGAATGGCGGCGAGACCAAAGGATCCTCCCCGAAGATCGATCGCGCGGTGACGGTTGTCGGCGTCTATCGATCGAATGCCGATAATCTACGGATCGGTTCTCGGATAGCAGCGAGTTATTATGTAATGGGACGTATGCGGCAATATAAAATCGACTTGTAACGTCGTGACGCGCGGCGCGAGAGAGAGGTACGAGATCCGTGTATGTACAATGCACGAAATGACAGTTGGAGACGACGCGAACGCTGACTGTATCCACCGACACAGATAAACGATTGAGATCCTTGATACATCGGACCACCAACGAATAGAAGATAACACGTCGCGGTAAATTAACTGTAAACTGTATTGAGCACATGTCGCACCCCCCCCTTTCCCCCGTGATAGCATTTTTATGTGTCATAGTAACTGGATTTAAAAGGAATTATAAAGACGCGAATGTGTTATCATCACATTCCTCCCTCTTTGCGATATAAAAAGGCTTGAGGCTTATCATGAAAATCGCATACAAAAGTTAAAGGTTTTTAATGTTTTGACGAGAGGAAGACACAATGGATCGATCGTTATTCTTTCGCGATTCCCAAGTCCGTATTAGGTCGCGCACGAATCTATCACGTCTGGAAAGGCGTGCCGAAGCACTCCTTTGAGAGGTCAAGATCCATCAATCCGAGCCGTGTATGCAGCCGCACCGGGACCACCGCTGGGAACGCCGGCGAACAATCTGCCAAGTCATCCCCGACCGATCTTGGCACATTCGTCAACTTCGTGGCTTCGTGTGTCACCTCCTCGACTGACGTGGGAAATCTGGTGACCCATGTTGAATTTGACAGAAATCAAATCTTACGCGTAGCGAGAGAGGTTCTTCAGCATTCGTCCCTTCGCGCAGAATTTCGCGAGGAATTATAATCGCACATTTTTTATGCTTTCGAAAAAACATTTGCAATTATAAATATAATAGATATATAATAAATATATATAATAGATATATAATAGATATTGCAATGGATTATGCACTTATGGCAGCATTTTTCTTCCTTAGTTTTTTTCTATAAATAGAATACAATTTAATCATCGAGACTTAATTTCTTTCTCGGACAAAAGATGTTTTTCCCGTAATTTTTTAACAAGAAAAACTGAGAGTGTCTTCGGGTGGTGGAGTCTGATGAATTCCCTACCAGAAGACGGCAGCCATCTCGCTGGCGCGGTGATCTCTTAACGATCGCATCACCGATCATAAAATCCGCGATCTCTCTGATTAGACGAAAAGCCGTCCGGCGACGAGAGAGATGGCCGAGATAAATTTCGAGCTTCGACCCTAATGACAGGGGCGTGTTTATGGTAGGGAGATGTCTACTGTGCGACTAATTTCTGTATAGTTTTAGAGCCCGCGGGCTCCCGGGCACGACCCTCTTATTCTTCATTAGACTCTGATTGCCGTTAGATTATTATTGCGGCCTCGTAACTACTTGTCGCACATCACACATTCACGTTCACTGAAAAACAGAGATATTAGCGCATGAAGATTTATATTATTCGACTTCGTGTTTTCGCCAAAAGTATCAATGTATCTGTAAATTGAAATCGAATAAAAAAATATACGCGGCTCGACCGCCGTCGCAGAACCTTGGATATGAATTGAGATTATAAATCAGGTAATCAACCGCTATAAAAGTCCACCCACACGAGCGCGCGTGCTTTTTTTCTGGGACCTTGCCCGATTTTTATGCCCGGTATTCGGATCGCGGGGAGCACGTCTATCCTCAAAATCTCGAGATACGACAGCGATTCGCCACGCGAGGACCCGTGACACGACAACCTGGGTCCTGTATCCGCTCCAAAGGAAACACATCGGTGATGAAGAAGACTACTGAGAGTCAGCTGGCTCTCGTAATTTTCTATGCTATTTATAAACAGATATTATTTAGCGCTATTTTTAATTTCGCGATACAAACAGAGGATATATACGATTCTCTCTTAACTATATGCATAATTTTTTTCCGCTCCGTCATTCTTTAACAATTTTAGCGTACGTCTATTGCATTACGTAGACTACGATAGAAATGTAGCTTCAGTGCACGAACAACTGAAACGTTCCCTCATTAATATTCCCGCCGTCGTCCGGGTCAATCATTCTACTCTGTGCAAAGTGAGACGAGATGAAATAAAATCCAGAAATTCGGTTTATTCTACTCGGGAACGCGGCGGCTTTATTAATCCAATAATGATCACCGCACGCGCGCGAGTAAAATGAAGAATGCATATTTGATTTCCTATCCTTCTAGGAGGTCCGAGTTGCGTCGTCGATCGTTTGCACAGTAATTCAATTGTGTAGAGATACTCGTACGTAGGATGGAATATGATAAAGGGAATCCCTCCGACACATCCGGTGGAAAACTAATAATATTTCCCTTTATTTTATAAACGTAATTCGAAAACGTCTCGCATTTTTTTTATTATAAAAATAAGATTATAAAATTTGATATATATCTTCGCTTAAACATATTATGTAATTATTATGGCGCGTATACAAATGATACTAATCTATTGTGATGCGATTATTGCAAGATTATTGGACACAATCGGGGAAGCCTAAGAATAAGATTCTCTTTCTTTTAATCCTCATCTTATCTTATTACTTGCGCTTACGAAATGATTATATATTATCGATTGTATAAATTTAAAGTCTTCAGCCGTATTACTTTCTAATGTAATGTATATACAAACATCATTTTAAATATATCAAAAGTTTGATACGTGGCACCAAAAATGCTGATATAAATCTCAATATTCGTGGGGCGCTAATTAATATTATGTACAGCTCATATATATACAGCTGTGTATATTAAATATTTGATATAATATAAATGCCAATTTCCAAACAGCACAAAAGGCCAAAAGACGTTTTAAAGACGTCTAGAGAATTTTGAGACGTCTTTAAACGTCTTTTGAACATGTGTGCTATCTGTATCTTTCATCGAACCATCGATACATTTTTATATACATATGATATATTTTATATTTTAATTTATATTTTATTGCATCTCTCCTCTAAAATGCATTCATGATGATATATTGCGTACAGCACAGTAAGAGGAGAGGCAAAAATCACGATATTCGACATTCGAAATATTATTGCAGCTCAATTGTGATTTAATTAGAAAGAAAATAAGAATTTAAAAAACTATAAAGTCTTGCCCGCCAAAGCAGCCGCTTTAGAAAGCACAATTTGAATGTCCATCGATGGAAAATTCTAAATATATAGAATATATTATTTTTTTTAGATTCCATATAAATATAAATGCATATACATATATCTTTCTCACCTGTAAAAGTTTAACATTTGCAGCAAAGTCGCCAGTCAGTAACTGGTCTCTTAATAATCTAAAAATATTTATATACGTGCTAGAGAGCAACAGAGATTATTGTTATAGACACGATAAAATCTTTTTACTCACAGAATCATGGCACAGCAGATATGTATGAGGAAACTGAATCTACTTTCATCGGCAAACAAGGAATCCCATATCCTCATAACATCTGGCAGGGGAAATTCTTGCGAAAGGAGAAGCGTCAACCATCTTGTTTCAAACAGAAGAATAACAAACAGTGAGAATAATAAAGTAAAAACGAGGATTGCTATAATAATAATGATATCAATATATGATACCTAAAGCTATAATATTGCGGACACAGTTCTTGTTGATGCAAACGCAACCAAACATCAGGATCATTAGCTCTAACTTGATTTGTCAATTTACTCATCATTGAATTAATTCCAAATTCAGCTTCATCCAACGTCTTTATAAAGAAATCCCGTATTTCAGCCATTAGATTGGTAAAACAGAAGAAAGTATCTGCCTCCGCATGTTCTGTAAAATAAAAAATTATTTGTTACCATTGGATAGTATTGTTTAGAAAGTGTTCTTATATTGTAATACACACTTCTCCATGTTGGATCTGGATCACAAGCAAATGCATGATATATAGGTCCAACTATCTCATTCATACCCTGCACGTAACCTTGACCAGGGTTTAACTTGGCGTATAAAAAGAGTATTCTCTCTAAAACTTCCCAATGTGCTTCACCACCTTCAGTCAATGGCGCATAATCTTCTGCAGCCTTTCTGACAGAGACTGCTATCTAATAGATAAAAGAAATAATGTGATAACACAATACCATATCTGCAGGATATGAATTATGGAACTACTTTACTCATATATTCTGTACACAATATCTGTACAAGAGATATAAAATTGTATAATAAAAATATTTGTATTTTTTTCTCTAAGAATGCTATTTTAATAAAACATATATTATTCTATTTGCATCATTTATAATACCTGCTGCTTTCCGTTCATTAATGTAAAGGCAAGCATAAATAAAGTTCTATTAATAAATTTAATAAAAAAATTGACGATGGAAGCTTTAATGTTCATAGTTTGTTACCTTGGTTATTCCTAATCCTTTCCTTTCAACATTTGCGCTTTTCAGTACAGTATGTTGAACTCTATTGTGTAAACGTTGCTGGCCATTAGCACTCACTATTTTTTGACATGGATAATCAGTACCTTGTTGAAAAAATGATATGTCTGGACATAGCCGCCTGTATAAATATAATTTATCATTAACCTCATTCTCATTAACAGATTTTATATAGCATTACATAGTTCAATATTCACCTAACATCTTTATCAATCTGAAGGAGAACTTCGTTATCTTTAAAGTACGTTTGCCATTTACTGTCTGGATTTAAATTGAGAGGATGATCGTGCAACGTTACATCAACTCTCTCTTTATCCTCCGCATTAGATTCTCCAGGCATAACAATGAGATCTTCTACAATCGAAGCAAATACAAATTTATACATAATAGTTTTAATCGTAAATTAGCGTCATACAAGCATCATTCTATTCTCTTACCAATGAAAGTGTTATACAACTCCCTTTTGCGCTTTAGAGTCTCCAACCAGCTGGACCTTTTCGGCGGCAAATAATTCAACAGCAACTTCCAACACAGAGGCCTCAGGCCACCAGGCTCGTCAGGTACGCCTACAAAAAAAATACCAGATTAGAAAGTTCGCGATTGGAATCATCACGCGATAAGCAGACTGGGATTAAATTATGTGTGATCATGTGAACGTACCATGGAAACATATTTTGCCGAGGCTGACGGTATCTATTTCGTCTGCGTTGAGAATATCATCGAATTCGCTCAGCCTGCAAAATAACTCTCTCGTTAACGCCCAGATACATATCTTTATTTACCTGAGACTCTCGACTCACTTCTTTCGCAGAATGCTCATTTTCCTCGCGCGCGAAGAACCCGAAGGAACATGTGACACGCAGAGCGGGGCTCCAGCAGCGCGGGGAATCTCTATTCGCGGATTTACTGTCCCTTATCGGCATTCGGTAGGCGTGTGCAGCGGCGCGTGAGGCGATATATCCATTTTCTTATTATTAATAGCGAATTGTCAGATCGGCTGGCACGCGGAATACTCGTTATCGCTCTGTCAAATTGAGCGATAGACGGCCAGCTGTGCGCTACGTCAACGACGATGGTCACTGACATTTCACTCTGACAGAAAGTATCGATATACCTTTCCCGCAATTTCTCGATATCTCGGCACCGATATTCATTCAACGATGCAGATACGACGCTTTCTCGAGATATCTACTGCAAATGAACGAAAGTACGAACGCACAGTATCTACATACACGTAGGTGAGAAAAGCAGACAAAGCTTTTTCGTCAATTAAAAAAAAAATGGAAAAATAAAGAATAGAAGATTAAGCGCGCTTAAAGTTGAGTATCTACGCGAAAACATACTATTGTTGTACCTTAAGAGCAATTCCATGTCCACCTTGATATTGATTGATACAGATATTGATAACGACGTGTCAAGTAATAATTGTGAAAATATACATGTTTATCTTATATACGTTCGTTAAATACCAATGTGCTTACACAAGACAGTGATGAGTGTACGATATTTTAAGACACTGGGTGAGTTTGCTTACATATACAATGAAAAAAGCATATATTGGAAGTTTCTTATTATAATTTAACACATTACATTATTTATCATTATAATTTTATCAGAAATTGAGCCTATATAATTTTTCTCTTCGTTATGATATTTAATAATATTTAATATATTAATATAAGAATTTCTCTTAACCTCCACTTTTTTGCATCATTATACTTATTTTAAACTTTTAGGTCTTAAATCGTGTGCATAATATGTCTATGTATTTTTTTAGTTACCTTGCAACTGTAAAAATGCCATTCAAGTTTCATTTAAAAAAAAGCAGGCAATATAATGTCGTGTCCAAGAATCAGTATGTGATTTGTGTCGAATTGTTAGATGCTACTTCTATAGAATGCACACTCAGTATTGACAGTGTTGGTCAAGAATGCCTGAACAATGTGACACAGCGTTTAGGAATAGGACAACCAGAGTTTTTTGGCTTACGCTACATTTATTGTCACGATAGCCCAGCATTGCGTTGGGTAGACATGGATAAACCTTTAAAGAGACAACTTGAAAAGGATGCCAAGAATTTTACGCTTTATTTAAGAGTTATGTATTATGTCACAGATGTCCAGTTTATTCAAGATGAAATGACAAGGTATTTATAAATTCTTTAAGCAATACAAAACTCTAAATAAGTATAATTTTAATTCTTTTCTTTTTTTTTCAGATATCATTATTATCTTCAATTAAAAAGCGATATTTTAGAAGACAGGATACATTGCAATCCTAGACAGGCTTGTCTATTGGCAAGTTATTCTATGCAAGCTGAGTTTGGAAATTACAGTCCAGAGAGACATACAATAGAGTGTCTCCAGCAGTGCACTTTTTTTCCAAATGTAACATCAATTTTCATGGCTAAAGAGATGTTACTTTAATTATAAATTTTATATACTTCATATACTGTATTTTTATACTTAGGAAGTGATCAAGATTGATTCAGGTGGACAAGACTCTCTCTTACATACAGCGATATGTCAGTACAAGAGTCTTACCAATGTTACGCAAGCCAGTGCAGAGGAGCTGTATATCTCAATTGTCATGCAGCTGGAAGGATATGGCAATGAAACATTTACTGCCAAAGTAAACACATCATAATATGTCTCTCAATTACTCTAGTTTTTCAATATATATTATGCAAAAAATATATATTTCAGGATAACAGTAACAATAAAGTTATTCTTGGAATTTCCATCAATGGAATTATGGTGGCCTATCCTAATACACAAACGCAATTTTACAGGTTAATTTATTTTATATACATATGTATAATTACACATATATATGCATGTCTTTATATGACATATATACATATAGATATAATAAACATTGCGATACATTAGATAATTTTATACTTTACAGATGGAGAGACATTAGTAATGTCATAAATCATAAGAAAACGTTCAGGATAGAGTGCCAATTGGAAGGTGAAGAAGCGAAACAATTTGTATTTACCGAATCACGTAATGCGAAATATATATGGAGATTATGTATAGCCCAACATACATTCTACATGCAATATCAAGAGCATCGTTCTCTAGAAAGATCCAATGGCTATTTCGTATGTATAAATAAATGGTTGATGCTACAGCATCAGTTTAGTCATATAATTAAAGACGATATATTGTTTCAGGATAATGATACAAATGATTCAAATGAGCAAACAGTCATGAATTTGGATAACCGGACCGCAGACAGTATGAGGTGGACAAGCTATAACGATCTTTCGACATCACCATATCCTGTCGTATCTGTTTCGTCAACGGATATAAATAATTTGCGCGCATTATTACCATCGTACAGACCGGCGCCCGATTATGAAACTGCGGTTCAGATGAAATATAATAATGGGGGAAACGCTCCTCAGCCTTATTATGCGAATCAATCCGCGATAGTTGGTTCGGACATTACGTGCCTTCTTAGTAATGTTGTAAATCGTAACAGATATTGAATTTAATAAAATAATTGTATGATCATTAAAAGTTTTACTTGTCTATCTGCATCTCTGTTCTATTGTTTATATAAATAGACAATGATTTGCGAAAAAACAGAGATTTAACATGTATTGAGATTATTAGCAATAAATAATATTAATATTATATTAAGCATTAGCATAAAGTGCTTTCAGTTAAATTTTCCAAACGTTCAGCAGTTGTGATCGCGCGCAACAAAGCTTCCGGTTCCGGTTTATCTGCAGTGGTATATACGTTAAAACCAGAATTAATTAATGCATGTTTTGTCACAGGACCTATTGCTACTGCTTTTATATTTTTTATATCATAAGAGTTTCTTTTAAATTGTGTTGTAATGTGTTCTACTATAGATGGACTGAAAAAAACAAAAATGCTAGGAGATTTTTTAAGTATTTTTGATAAATCCTGCTCTAATAATTCACTCGCTAATGTTTTATAAACCACAATTTTTTGTATTGTAACTCCATTATCATTAAGAATACATGCTATAGTTTCTCGTGCAATGTCACTGCATGGATACAATAATGGTTTTGAATCTTTTTTTATATCAAGAATAATCCTTTCAGCTAATTGCTTTGAATTACCAGATTCACTACCGATACAATGTTGCAGATTAAGTTGATTTCTTGCGAGAGAATCAGTTGCAAGTCCTATACAGTATACCGGTATCTGTTGCCAAGAATATAGAATATTTACATCTTTTTTTACCACCAATGAAATAGCTTCAACCGTACGTGGACTCGTTAATATTAAACCTACAACATAAATTTACAAAATAATAGAAAATAATTGATGAGATAGTAACACATACAATTGTACATGTACAATTAATATATTACCACTATATTTCTCTGCTGTTGACAGACATGCTCGCAATTCTGAAATATTTACAAATTCAAATTGCAATGTTTGTAAATATTCGCAAGTATAACCAGCAGATTCTAACGTCTTTATATACATTTCCTGTTTATCGCTAATTTCAGACAATCCTTTACATAATACCACTATTTTATTATTCTCGAGCATTATATGAGCAATACAGTATACTGTGATTTATCCAATTAAAATTCTGCAACAAAAGAATTTGTATTATATCAGAACACATATCTAAATACTTGTTACATTCTCGAAACTTTTGTAAATCTTAAATATAATCAAATATGTTTTAAATTAATCTAAAATATATAAAATCACTTTCTTGTTGCCAAAAAAGAAAATTTTATTACATACCTGTAAAAACTAACTTTGCTAAAATAATTTAAAAAAATTTCCTATCTATGTTTCAAAATGGATTATCAGGTACTGACAAATAGTGTAAAATCATTTATGCGTACGTTTATTTACATATAAATTACTAAATAAATTAATTAATATTAATTGAAAATATGGATTAATAAATAAAACACAACCCACAAATATAATTTCTATCTTTGCTTGTCATTGGCTGCGGTCGGGAAGACGCTCTGGATGCTTTCAAACATCATTCTATCTTTGTTCTACATTCCATAAGAATAAAGATAGAATCATGTTTCGGAGCATTCATAGTTCAGTCTTGACTGCAGTCATTTGGTGCTTTCCATTTAGCGACATAAGTCGACACAAGCGTCATTCTATCTTTTTTCAATGAATAACAATAAACAAAGATAGAATGACACTTGTGTCGACTTGTGTTGCTAAATGGAAAGCACCCATTATCAATTATCGACAAGATAATAACAGAGAGAAGACTGAGAGATGTCCTGGCCTGCTTTTGGGTGATCCCTGAAAGCGATACTCCCTCTATGGACATTGAAAACGTGGACATGAACTACAAAGCCAATGTCCATGAATGTTCTCAGAAGGTATCATGTGCACAATTTCTGGTTTCGTTCCGTGCTATGTGCACGAAATGCCGGTAACACCAAAGTATAACAAGACATTCATGTATATAAATTGATAGTAAATAAATTATGCAATCGTGAAAGATACTGTAATCTTCCAATGTAATGTTCAAATATGAAATAAATATTTTTCTATATTCATTGCCATGTTTATATATTTTTATTTACAAAACATAAAATGCCTGCTGTGGAATAAAAACATTTTTAACCGTTATTTCTATAAATCTTAATTAGCAATAAACTGATCTTTGATATTTATTAATCACTTTTTTAATTATTTAAAAAAGTTATTATATTATTAATTATTTACTTATTTATTTATTACTTATTATCTTACTTAAAATCAGCAAAATTAATTACATAATAGCCCTAACAATATCCTCTACTTTTTGAAAGGAAAATTAAAAAATCTTAATGATCACCTAATAGCCCTAACAATCCTATTTCTCGATTAAGTGAAATTATTCGAGGAAAGCCTATTTCTAATCACGTATATTTTAATTACGTGCCCTAATTACATTCTGTAACCGCATGCTCTAACCGCGTGAATAAATGTTCGACATTACTACTACTATTACGTACTACTACGTACTATTGTACGTAAAGCTTTTCTTCAGGCCAGTTGAACTTACTTTTCCTTGATCCTGACCACTTTCTCGCTCGATCTCTAATCAGAGATCGAAAAAGGAGATAAACACTCCTTCTTTTGCCGATTAATTATCGACAAATGAGCGTAAATATTTCACGCTCATCGTAACGATCGCTCGATTTTACGATCGTTTGTTAAATATTTGAATATAATTTTATTTTAACTCAAATAAAACCAAATTACTACAAATTTCTATATAGTATATTTTCTAATAAAATATAAAATTCATGTGTGTGTATAACTTTTATGATATTACAAATTATTTAATTAATTAATCGTTTGGCTTTATTTTAAGTTAAAGTAAAATTTAAAAACAATATCTACAAACAAATTCTACAATGGATGAGCTATAAGAAATTAGAATAAAATAAGTGCACGTTATAAGAATAAAGTAGTATCAAAAATTGGTAAAATTGTTAAAATTATTAATGCGTGCTCTTGATTTAATAAACTAGACAAAGTCTTTACAAAAAAATTTTCTTTTCTTGATTCTTTTTTTTAAATTAATACTTCAATATATTTTCGCAATAGATGCAAAGCATTTTGAAAGAATTTATTAAAAGTTATTTAATTTAATCTATCCTAGCTCATCCATTTTAAGGCAACGGACTTACTACAATTCACAATCTACAATCTACAATCTACAATCTACAATCTACAATCTACAATCTACATCTACAATCTCTACGAATCCGTTACCTTAAAGTTAAATAAAAGTTTTTCTCACTCACCGGCACTGATGCGCAACAGCGGAGTTATAATTATCGAAGCTACGTTGTCTGTAACATACAAATATAAAATTCATTTATATTAATGCTCACAAAATGCAATCAATATTTCAAAAAATTTTTATCGCGCGGAATTTTATATCCGATGTGTAAAATAATAAGCAGAGATAAACACGTGTGGAAAAATTTTATAAAATTTTAAAATTGTTTTTTAAGAAAGTTTTTTAAAAAGTTTTATATAACTTTTATAAAAATCTTTCTCTCTAATTTTCTCTTTCATTCATTTAAATAATAAGATCGAATTATTATGCGTACGATTTATAACAATTGATATACAAATAATAAATATTCACCATCAGGTTGCTCCGCCGATGCAAGATGCCTCTCCCAGACCTCCTCCTCCTCTCATGTTGTTGACGCGCGATACTTTCAACGGCACTCCCGCACTCACGAGCGATATTTTTATATCGCTATTTTCGTTATTTTACGCGCGATACTAAACGGCACTCCCGCACTACTTCGGTATTCGGATTAAAAATTTTGTCGCGCGATGTATATATTTAATATATATATACTTTCAACGACACTCCCGGTTTCGGTACGAGCGAAAATCTCATTTCATTTACGAGACTTAACTTTGAGGCAACAGGTCGGGAGTGCAACGATACAACGAGCAAAGATTAGGCCCGAACCGGAAAGAAGACAAAACGATTGAGGAATAGAGGAAAATAAAGTTCACCAGCTCTTTTTCGCGCATAATTATCCTATCTCGTATCGAACCTAGACCCGCTAAGCATGATTTCAGGTGCTTCGCCCGGAACACGAAGTTTCCCGCAATGCAGGATATGGCTACACCAGGCTGGTAGACGGCAAAAGAAGAGGATACCCACATTTTTTAAATGCTAACATTCAGCAATTTAAAAAATGGGGAGGCAACCCCTTTTACCGAGCGAAAATCATGCTTAGGGGAATCCACTCGACTCCTCGACAGGGTTAACACACGCAGTGCGTATGGCTGTAGGGTAGACGAGCAAAGAGAAGGGACCCATTGACGACCATTCCGAGCAATCGATCGAGTTCTAACTAATTCGGGCCGAATCATTTGACGAAGTACGAAGCACAAAGCGCGAGTGTACGTTGCATAACAACGTGTGCAAAATCGAAACATCCCAGTTAGTTGGCATCGGAAGTAGAGACTCGTGACAATAAATGAAATTGGGATTTTATATGAAAAAGTCCAAAATTTCGCGTAAACGCGACGACGCGAGAATACTACAACGCGAAAACGCGGTAACGAAACGCTTGCCGTCCGCGGCACGTTGACGGCACCGACGACGCGAAAGGGTACTTAGCTTCCCTTTCAAACACCTTAAGATTTATCATAAATAGAAAAATTTAAGATAAATCTCAAGACACCATCCAAGTACTAAGCCCTCCCACCGCGACAAGGTGTACCCCATGGGAGGGTTATATTATATATAATTTTATATATAATATAATATATACAATTGCAGCATTTAGTTTGTAATATAGTATATAAATTTAAATTTGCATAACAAGACCGTAAAACAAAATCATTGGCACGGTATTGTTTATGTCGGATATTATATTATTCATTGTTGAAATTCATTGTTGAAATTCATTATTAAAATATAATATAATTTGAAATGTAATACAACATAATTTAACAAGTTTTTTTTTTTTTTTTTTTTTACGTGGGGAAAATGCTCCTTATGCACACCCCGACGGGACCGCTATTTAGCGGTCCCGTCGGGGTAGTGTTGGGCTCTCCCTGCCGCCATTTTAACGGCAGGGACTACCAACTAAAAACCCCACGCGCCTTTCCTTAGTCTTCCAACGCGCAAGTCCCCGGAACCATGTGCATAAGGAGTATTATATGGAGTAGCCCTAACAAACTACTATCCTATTATATGTTCATAATATTCAATATTATATACATTCAATATATACATTCAATATATATTCACAAATATCTGAAAAAAATAATTTTCTTAATATCTTCGATATTAAACTTTAATAATATAAGCTGTTTAGATAAATTTATATAAATAAAATTAATGAAATACAATTAATGAAATTATGTATATCTCAAAATATATATGTGTATAAATATATAAATTTTATAAAAATTATTATTTAAATTAAAATTTTAAATACATAAATACACAAACATCTATATATAAGAAAATAAACATATAAATTTTATATAAAAATTATTATATAAACTAAAACCTTAAATGTATATATAAGTATATAAATATATAAATTTTGTAAAAATTATTATTTAAATTAAAACCATAAATATATAAATAAATGAATATATGAATTTTCGAAAAGTTATTATTTATAAATATTATTTAAATCAAAATTTTTTTTGGAATTTTAATAATAAATCTTTTTTTAATAATAAATTCTATTCATTCTTTAATTTCTACTCATTCTTAATTCTATTTTAAATCTTTCAATTTCTATATTTAAAAATAACTTATAAATTCATAAATATACGAAATTTATTATTCATATTACTAAAAAATAGCTTAATATATAAATTTATATTTTAAATTTTTCATATAAAATTTCGTATTACATAAAAGTACATAAATTTCGTATTAGATAAGTACATAAAATTTCGCAAAAAAATTCGTATTACTATACAAATTATTGAGTGTTTACAATTTAATTTTCATCCTTATATAAATAAAATACCTATAAAAAAACACTCAAAAAATGTTGATCCGTTAAAAATTCTTAATATTAATAATATAATTATTGATATATTTATTAATTTGTTTTCCCTAATATTATTTAAGCCTACATTTCCTGATTCCTTAAAAGGTACATAATATAAAATCAGCTAAATTAATCACATAATAGCACTAACAATCCTCTACTTTTTGAAAGGAAAATTGAAAGGAAAAAAATCTAATGATGACCTAATAGCATGGCATAATAGAAAGGAATACCTAATGATGACCTAATAGCATGACATAATAGAAAGGAATTTGAAAGGAAAAAAACCTAATGATCACCTAATAGCCCTAACAATCCTATTTCTCGATTAAGTGAAATTATTCGAGGAAAGCCTATTTCTAATCACGTATATTTTAATTACGTGCCCTAATTACATTCTCTAACCGCATGCCCTAACCACGTGAATAAATGTCCGACATTACGTACTATTGTACGTAAAGCTTTTCTTCAGGCCAATTGAACTTACTTTTCGTTGATTCTGGCCACTTTCTCGCTCGATCTCTAATCAGAGATCGAAAAAGGAGATAAACACTCCTTCTTTTGCCGATT